TATATTGAGACACCCAGCTAGATTATCAACAGAGCATTTTTGGGATACATACAATCCATCCCCATTTTCACAGTCCAAGTAGCATGGATGTGTTTTGGTGTAGTCCAGTTGGGGTGGGAATTTGAGCTTTTTATGCAGCACTATTTCCCATGGTTTTTCGGCCCATTTGACCCACCACTCTAGATTTGGGTAGAGGAAAATCTTTTTGTATGCTGACTATGATGTGTTCTAATCCCTTTTTTGTTGTCTTTTTGTTTTTGTTTGCCACAGGGATGGGACACTAACATATTCTGACTGATGTAATATGAATTGTAAAAAAATGTAAAGTTGGCATTTCATATAAATATAGATTGCGCTAGACATGTTTATATATATGTTGCGTTGTGAATGTAATGCCTTGTTTATTACTTTGTAGAATGGCCAATAATGGTAACGGAAGTGAGTCATCAGTCAGTGGCACTGAATCGATGGAAAGAATAATGAAAAGAGTGGTTACTAACTTTCTGCAAGACTTGCAGACCAACATCAACAATGGGATGCCGGAACGGCGAAAAGAGTCAGTTACCATAAAATAGTTCCAGGATCTGAAACCCACCACATTTACCGACGGCCAAAACCCAATGGTAGCAGACGCTTGGGCTAAAGACATGGAAAAGATTTTTTGCGTCTTACCCTGCACCGAAAGACAAAAGGTAACTTTCGCCACTTTTACTTTCAAAGACAATGCACAGGAATGGTGGCTTCTCACTCTAGCCAAAGAAAAAATTACGACTTAGGCAAGATTCTTGGAAGTATTCTACGAAAAATACTTCCCAGATTCTTTGCGGGAATAGAAGGCATCTGAATTCATACATCTAAAGCAAGAAACCATGATGGTGGCCGAATACGAGAGCAAGTTCACTCAACTCGCTAGGTTTGCAACATACATCATCCCCACCAAAACTCGAAAGGTAAAAAAATTTGAAACAGGATTGGATGCTGAAATTAAAGACAGGCTGGAGGTCTTAAGACTGCTAACCTATGCAAAAGTGGTAGACCGGGCGTACATTGCAGAAAAGGGGATTAAAGCCTCACGTTCCGGGGAACCAAGCCACAAGAAGCGATTCTAGGAAAGAGACAAAAAAAGACCCGGTGTTGCGCCTCCTAAAAAGGTGAATATGGGCACAACCAGCTCAGGCCATCAAGGTCCTACCAACCCCTGAGGTGGCACTGTTCCAATTTGTCCCACTTGTGGGAAGGCTCATTGGAGACAATGCCATCGAGACACGGGAGCATGTTTTAAATGCAGTCAAGTTGGCCACTTACTGAAGGATTGTCCAAAACTGACTAATCCTACAGTCAACCCCTCTGGCCCAGTCAGGAAACCCGCAGGACCTAGAGGAGAGAGGAATGACCAAAAACGTCAAGGGCGGGCTTTCGCCTTAGTACTTGGAAAACCAGAAGTTACCGAAAATGTTGTGTCAGGTATACTTTCTATCTATGGTCATTTAGCTCATGTCCTCATTGACTCTGGGTCAACTCATTCTTGTGTTGCACCACACTTTGCTGCCAAGTTGGTATTAACACTCGAACCATTAGGATATATATTGTCTGTGTCTTTTCCTTCCGATAAGTCTGCCTGTAGTACTGATATGTATAGATCTTATGCTATACTCTTAAAAGGCAAAAACTTATAAGTAGACTTGATTCCCCTCTGCATTGAGAACTTTGATGTGATCTTAGGTATGGATTGGCTGGCTGCCAACCACACCTCTATTGATTGTAAAGCCAAAAAGGTCTCCCTCAGGTTACCAAACCAACCCGAACTTGTCTTTGATGGGGCTGGAGTTTCTAACCCTCCCTGTATTATATCCTCCATGACAACCCAACGACTTCTAAGAAAGGGATGTGATAGTTATATTTGTTATGTGATTGATACACAAAAAGAGGCCCCCACCGTTGATGCAATCCCCGTGGTTCGAGAATTTCCGGATGTTTTTCTTGAAGATCTACCCGGTATTCCGGTTGATCGGGAGATCGAATTCACCATTGAAACCCAACCTGGCACACAACCAATATCAAAAGCTCTTTATCGTATGTCGATGACAGAATTGAAAGAGCTGAAGACTCAACTCCAGGAACTGCTGGACAAAGGTTTCATTCGACCTAGTACCTCACCCTGGGGAGCTCCAGTATTGTTCGTATAGAAAAAGGATGGCACGATGAGATTATGCATCGATTACCAGGAGTTAAACAAGGTCACCATCAAGAATCGATATCCTCTGCCGCGTATCGATGACTTGTTCGATCAACTTCAAAGCGCCCAAGTATTTTCCAAAATCGACTTGCGTTCTGGCTATCATCAGCTAAAAGTCAAAATAGAAAGAATCGAAAAAACTGCCTTCAGAACTCGTTACGGGCACTACGAGTTTCTTGTCATGCCTTTTGGCATCACAAATGCCCCAGCAGCCTTTATGGACCTCATGAACCAAGTGTTCAAACCCTATCTTGATGAGTTCGTCATCGTCTTCATTGACGATATCCTCATATACTCCAAGTCACCAGAGGCCCATGAGCAGCACTTGCGAACAGTTCTACAAACACTATGTGATCACAAACTTTATGCTAAGTTGAAGAAATGCGAATTCTAAATCACTAGTGTAGACTTTCTCGGTCACGTCATTAACAAAAATGGCATCTCAGTTGACTCCCAAAAGGTTGTAGCAATCGTGGACTGGCCACGACCTACTAATGTGTTAGAAATCTAAAGTTTCTTGGGTCTAGCTGGCTATTATCGACGCTTCGTGCAAGATTTCTCAAAAATAGCATCACCTTTGACCCAGCTAACTCAGAAGAACACACCCTTTGAATGAACTGATAAACAAGAGCATTGCTTCCAAGAATTAAAAAGTCGACTTGTGTCAGCTCCTATACTAGCACTCCCTACAGGAGCAGATGGGTTCGTAATCTATAGTGATGCCTCATACAATGGTTTGGGTTGCGTTCTCATGCAAAACAAAAAAGTCATTGCTTATGCGTCGTGAGAATTAAAGACTCACGAGAAGAACTACCCGACTCATGATTTGGAATTGGCTGCGGTAATCTTTGCTCTCAAAATCTGGCGTCATTATCTCTATGGTGCAACTTGCGAGATTTACACTGATCACAAGAGTCTTAAATATCTGTTCACACATAAGGAACTGAATATAAGGCAACAGCGGTGGCTAGAATTTATGAAAGACTATGATGTAGAGATCCATCACCATCCAGGCAAAGCTAACGTGGTGGCAGACGCGCTGAGCCGAAAGACGACGAGAAGTTTGGCATGTACTCTTGTTTCCCGCAAGATCAATGGACTACTCGTCAACATAACCGTGGAACCCACATTGATTGAAGAAATTAAAGCGCGCCAATGGGAAGATAAACTTTTGAAGAAAAAGTACGAAGAGCAAAAGAGTACGCCTGATCCTGATTTCACTATAAGCAATGGGATACTAAAATTTCAGAATCGAATTTGCATACCTGACATCCTGAAACTCAAGAAGAAGATGCTGGAAGAAGCTCATAACTCGAGATGTGCAGTCCACCCTAGCAACACAAAGATGTACCATGATCCGAAGGAACACTACTGGTGGACAGGAATGAAAAGAGACATAACAAGCCATGTCTCCAAATGTCTGCATTGTCAATGTGTTAAAGCAGAACATCAGAGACCTGCAGGACTGCTGCAACCACTCCCTATTCCTGAATGGAAATGGAAACACATTACTGGCCCCGTTTGGTAGAGCTGTGGGAAAGTGATTATAGATTATAGCTTAACAAATTATAACTTACAGCTGTGAACAAAAGCTGGTAACCTGTTTGGTGCAGCTGTGAGATTATGGATTTAAGTAGCAGAATAGTGTTTGGTAAATAAGCTGTAAAATAGCTTTTTGCTGTATAATTGTCATTTTGCCCTTATAAGATATAAAATTTATGATTTCATTTATAATACATTTTTTTCATTTTTTTTTTCTTTTCTTTTCTTTTCTTTTCTTTTTCACCTTATTTTCTTCTTCTTTTTAAATTTTTTTTTTCTTATCTTCTTTCTTTGTTAATTTTGTTTAATTTATTAATTCATTAAAATTAATATTCATGTTCTAATTTATATTAATGTTGTGATTTCATTACATATTATTTTTTATATATTCATTTTTATTATTTATATGTGTATTTATTTTCTTTATTATTATTATCAATTTGCTCATCAATTATTAAAATTAGTATCAATTATTATTATTATTATTATTAATTTGTTCATCAATTATTAAAATTAGTATCAATTTGTCCATCAATTATTATTATTATTATTCATTTTAATTATTTTTAGTGATATTTCATTTTTTTCATTTTTCGTAATTAATTTATTCATTCGACAAATCCTTTCATTTTTTTCAATTTATATCATTTTTTCATTTTTAGTAAAAATATTTCATTTTTTCATTATAAATTAATTAGTGTCAATTAATGGCCTAATTAGCATCAATTAATAGTAAAATTAATTTTTTTTCATTAATGGCCTAATTAGCATCAATCAATAGTAAAATTATTTTTTATTCATTAATTATTATTTTTTTAACTAAAAAAAACACTGAAGCTCCACCAAAAAAAAAAAAAACCAACCTAAAAACCCTAGCTCCGGCGCTAGGGTTTCAGATTGATCCACAAAGAAAGAGCCGTTGTCACGCCGGCGTCGATCGCGAAGAGGGAGAGAGAGCTAGGGTTCAAATCACGATGGTTGAAATGTTCAGATCACAATGATAAACCCAGAGCGATGGTTGAAATGTTTAGATCGCGATGATAAACCCAGATTTTTGTAACATCTTCGATCATCACTATGGCCATAGCTCCGAGATCACAATGGTTTAGATCGCGATGATAACAGTGTTGAGTCAGATTACGATGATAACAGTGAGAGTGAGAGTGAGAGAGAGAGAGAGTTGAGAACAGTGTTGAGTCGCCGGAAATCGCCCTTGCCGGAAATGGCCTTTGTCTCTCTCTCACAAGTGAACAGTGCTGAGAACAAGGCTTATATAGTGGGTTTTTGGTAATAGTTGGAATATCTGAGGGGCATTTAAGTCATTACACACCTCAAGGATGGGCTGCGCGCTTAAGCTATAATTTGTAAACATCCCCTGAGCAGCTTCTCCATTTAAGCTGAAAATAGCTTTTTTAAAGCTATAATCTGATAGTTTAAGTTGTACCAAACACAACAGTATTGCTTAAATTAAGTCAAAAGCTGAAATAAGCAGGTTATAAGTTTTACCAAACAGGCCCACTATGGACTTCGTGGTCGGGCTACCATAGTCATTTTTGAAGAACGATGCAATATGGATTATAGTAGACCGATTGACGAAGTCAGCACATTTTCTACCAATCAAAATCATATACTCCCTTAATAAGTTTGCCACTTTATATATCAAGGAAATTATTCATTTGCATGATATCCCAGTTTCGATCGTGTCTGACTGAGACCCCCGCTTCGTGTCTCACTTCTGGAACAAATTGCAAGAAGCTTTGGGAACCACACTGAAATTTAGCACTGCGTATTACCCACAAACTGATGGATAATCTGAAAGAACAATCCAAACGTTGGAAGACATGTTACGTATATGCGTGTTGGACCTCAAAGGTAACTGGGATGAGCACCTACCTTTAGTGGAATTCGCCTATAACAATAGCTATCAAGCAAGCATTGGAATGGCGCTGTACGAAGCTCTGTATGAAAGGAGATGTCGATCACCTCTGTGCTAGACGGAAGTCGAGGACAGGAAATTGTTAGGCCCCGAGATCGTGCAAGTCACAAGTGAGAAAATCCAACTCACTCAACAGCGAATTCGCACTGCTCAGAACTGCCAGAAAAATTATGCAGATACTCAGAGACGGAACTTGGAATTTCAAGTAGGGGATCATGTGTTCCTCAAGATCTCACCAACAAGAGGAGTGATCCGATTCGGAAAGCGAGGAAAGCTAAACCCATGTTACATCGAGTCATTCGAGATACTAGAAAGGATTGATCCTGTAGCTTATCGCCTTGCACTACCTCTTGAACTATCCAATGTCCACAATGTGTTTCACGTTTCAATGCTCCGACGGTACCTCCGAGATCCAGAACATGTCGTCGACTATGAGAACCTGAAAGTTCAAGAAGATCTCTCTTATGAAGAATAACCAGTGCAGATTCTCGATCGTCGTGATCAAATTCTTCGAAACAAGACCATACCACTAGTAAAGGTCTTATGGCGAAATCATTGTATCGAAGAAGCTACACGGGAAACGGAAAGTCAAATGCGAGCCAAATACCTACACCTTTTCAAAAATTAAAGTACGTCAAGTTTGGGGACAAACTTCTATTTAGAAGAGGAGAAATGTGACACCCCAAAATATTTAATTAATACCACAACCGACCACGATTATTAATAAAAAATAATAATAATCTATAATAATAAAATAAAAGAATTAATTTTGTGATTGTATGCGATAAAGTAAAATTTAATAATAATAATAATAAAAATAATAATAATGGAAGTAATAAAATAAATAAGCTATGCGTGTTATGTAAATTAATTTGTCATTATGGTTATCAAATATGTGATGCGGAAATTTATTTAAGGCTAAGTTAATCACTAATTAATGTGAAAAGATTAGCATGTATAAATATAATTAAATGAATTAAATACCACATAAATATTTATAGTTAAACATAATTATGATTTTATGTGATGATATATTATTAAATAAATAAATACATAAATTTAATTTGGCATTGAGTTATCAAATATGAGATTAATTAGAGATTATTATTTGAGATTAAATTAACACAAATATAAAATTATAATATTAGTTAGGCCAAATTAAAGTTAAAGATAATAAATAAATAATAATATTAATAAGCCCATATGACATAAGGCCAATCAGTTTTGTCATTAATTAATAGATTATAATCTTTTAGGAGAGATAGTTAATTGCCGGGGGAGACTGCGTCAGAAGAAAAAGAATGAGAAAAATATAGGAGAGTGAAATAAAGAGAGACCAATCATGACCCACTAACTTCGTATGCAATTTGGGCAGTATAATTGACATTTTTGAAAAACTCTATATATCTTATAAATTTGAGAAAATAAAAAAATAAAAAAACCTTAAGATTTGACCATTCTAACAAAACAAGTCTTGAGTTTTTAATTTTTAAATTTAAAATATAATTTTTTGATTTATTTTTAATCTAAATAATTTGTCTATTTTTGTCAAGTAAAATTCAAAAAAAAGTTCAATTATTAAATTTATAAAAATTTTAGACATTTTATGTACACCTGACTTTAATTATTTTTATTTTATTTGTTATTAACCCTATAAATTTTGATAGAAAGCCTAGTTATGTGTTGCTTGTTTATTTATCCGTCTTTGTTTCTTTGGATAATAGTTTCTCGTTGTTTGGATAGCACTCTCGATTGTTCTTAGCGATGGGGCTAGCACCATCGTGTATCAACGTTGCAAACCTCAATTAGGGTTGGGGTTGTTGTCAGCCTCTGCCTTGATCAAAACCACCAACTCCTCCTCTTTCTCCTTGCAGTCGCGATGTTGCGGTTGCGGTGCGACTGCAACAGCAGGATGGCTTTGTTTCATATAATGCTGGAATGATGATGACATTGTCAAGGGATGACGATGACGACTCATTTGATCTTTCTTGCTATACTTTTTGAACTTTTGGTTCGTCGGACATCAAGGATGCTTACAAACATCCTTGCAGAGTTTGCTTTGAAGGAACATAACAAAAAAGAAAAGGCCAATCTTCGCTTGGTGAGGGTGGTGGAAGCGTCTCTTTCTAGGAGTAAGGGCATAACTTACTACAACAAGACACTCAGAAAACTCATTCATTCGAATGATGCCATAACCTACCACATCAAGCTCGAGACAATCGATGATGATGATGATTCCGGCGAGACCTTATGTTAGGTTGTTTGGTGAATTTTAATAGGTAGGAAAATAGGCTTAATGAATTTTAATATATACACAAATTGTGTGATTTCAAGAATTAAGGTGATTTCAAAACATAGACAGATAGGTTGATTTCAACACATAGTTATGTTTTTGGACAAATTGCGTCTTTTTAGTCCATAGAGATTAGAAGTTGGACCTAGTGGCCCAAAAAAATTAGAAATAGACTTATGACATGAGTGTCCTAAAAAGATCAAAACTCAAAATTTGTTTTTAAAATTTTAAAAGCAAACTAAGCGATTGTTTTGTCTTGCAGTGAGCATCTTCAACCTATCCTCTAAATCTATCTCTATTTGGGAGAATGATGGGTTGATTGTCCATATTTGGAACGAGGGTGAAAAATATAAGACAATCTCTAACACTATTCATTTTATATTTTTGATTATATTACAAATAATTTTTAATATGTAAATTTAAATTGTTATAAAATTGGTATCATTAGAAAGGGTTAAATCATACCTTTAAAATGAATATAATATAATTTTATTAATAAACAAAAATTATTTATTTTTTGATGAAAATATTTTGGAGTGAAATTTTTAAAGAAGAAAATGTGGTTTGAATGAATAATAGCATACTCTATACTTAATTTTGAATAAAAAAAAAATGTATTTTCATCCTCTAATTAAGAGTGTGGGTTGGACATGCTCTAAGGTATACAAAAACAGTAATGTTAGAAAAAACATAACGAGTTATAATCCTCTTACAAGAAGTGGGTCCTACATGGATTGGAAATGTTCCAAGATATACAAAAACATATTAGGAACACAAAACCCCCTTACAAGGGATGAGTCCCCTACATGGAAGTATCACCCTTGTGAGAGGATTATATTCCATTATGTATTTAGTTTTTATATACATAGACTTACTTAAATAAAAAAATATTTAAGACAATTAAATTTATCACCTTAAAAATTATTTCTAATAATATATTTGATAAATATTAAATTTTAATTTATCAAATATTCTATTATATTGCATGGGGTCTACATAATTAATTAAGAGTAATGTTAGGAACTCCAAATAATCTACAAAATATTTTACCAAACCTCTCACGGATCAAATATTTTATCAAACATTTCACATGAATGTGAAATCCGCACACATATTTATTTATATAGATTTCACATTTATATAAGAGATTTAACAAATCATTTAATAAATTATGAGAAAAGTTAGGGAATATGAAAAAAATTTCATAAAAATGATCATGAAAGATTTATGATATTTAAATTATCTTAATTAGTCTGTGATGTTTTATTTTAAATATAATTCAAGAATTACAAAACTTCTATAATTATTTTTATGAAAAAAATTTCATAGTACTAGCATTGCTGATAAATTATTTGCGATTCATAACCGTTTCTATTAATTAATGGTAATTATTTGGGATTCATAACCGTTTCTTTTAATTAATGGGCATTGATGAAGGTATATATATGTTGACGTGTGTCTGGAAACTTTTCCAGAACTTCCTTGAGACGTAGCATTTCTCTTTACTAGTGAGTGTCATCTCTCTCTCTCTCTCTGTCTCTCTCTCTCTCTAACTGGTTTCGAAGGGGAGAGGACGAACGAGCAAGACCATGGTTTCCACAAGAAGAAGTGGATCTCTCAACGAAAACAACACCAAGCGGTCGTCGCCGTCGTCGGAAGACAAGCCTCCGCGGCCAAAACAACAAAAGGTCTCTTCGTCAATCCAATCTCGCCCTTTGATCTTGATTCCTTTTTTCATTTTCTTGGTAATTGTCGCGTTTTTTGACCATTGATTTGCTTGAATTTCAGGTTGACAATGGCTCTGCATCAGATAAATCGACTCCGGCTGAGAATTCCAAGCAATTGTGCACCACTCCGGTGGTAATTCCACCGGAACGTGGCTCTGTTGATCCTCCGACCGCCGGAGGTGGTGGCGGAGAAGCTCCGAGTTCCGGGAAAGTGGATTCAACTCAAGCGGTTGCTCAAGGTTAGTCAATTCTTTCTGGTTCTTTTCCATGTATGTTTATTTCTGTGTAGAAGTGATAATAGACCGTTTGGTTTGAGTGATTTTAAGGGAAAATAAAAAGAAATTGATTTTCTTGGTCTTGAATCAAAAATTAAGTTACAATCCACTTTTTGAAAAATTGAAATTGGATTATTATTAATTTTTTGTATCCTATGAAAATTATCCTTGTAGATACTAAAGAAATATAAAAGCATTTAAGGTGGATAAACCAAAGAGTTCTTTATCTTAGATTTTCAAACATGGTGTAAATGTGATTTCCCAAACATAGTTGATGTGTTATATGAATTTAAGAGACTGAAATATATTGTTTTTGGTTGCGTCTTGGAGGGTCTTGGCCAATTGTGGCGGATAAACCGAAGATTTCTTTATCTTCACGGAGTGCTCATCAGAAGAAGAGGCCGAGTTTTGATCCTACAACCCCATGGTGCAGGCTTTTGTCGCAGTACGCACAGGTTTAAAGCTTTCTCCTGATGAGATTTAAAAAATTGTGTTCTTTTGGGGACCACAATTGGGTTTTCTACACTAGATGAAGCCACATTTTTTGAGTTCTCGGTGTTTTATGTACACATAAACGGGTTTATATTGTTTACTGCAGAATTCGAATGTTCCAATTTGCACATCAAAATTTTTAATCGGTTCAAGCAGATTCAATGATCTTGTATTGAAGGACCAGACCGTTAGTGCAAATTTGTGTGTGATCAAGCAGGCAAAGGTATTTCTTTGATTAAACTCATATCCATGAGGATTAATTCAATATTTATTTTGCAAATACATGGCGTGTTACTTGGCTATGTACTCATGGTTTGTGGAAATGGAAATGATCAGTACGCAGACACTTTTGTTGCTATGCTCGAAAGCAGGGGGATGAAGGGATCTGTGCAAGTAAATGGGAAGATTATTAAGAGGGGTAACATCTGTGTCGTCAATTCTGGTGATGAGGTGGTTTTTGGTCGTTTGGCGAACCATGCTTATGTATCCATCTATTTCATTTCAGTGCGGCTCTTTGATCAATATTAAAGTTTTGCTCATGGGTTCTCAATATTCTTTAATACCTTTTCCTTGTTGGATTGTGTAGTGTGTGTGTGTGTGTTGTTTGAAGCCTACTGCTCAGGCCAGTGGTAAAACACATCAAGGGACTAAGATGCCCCCTCATCATATTGTTCACGACAGTATGGAGATTGATCTTGATGGTCTGGACGCCAATTCGGAAACAAATATTGGGAGTGATAAAGCTGGTGACATTGGAGAGACTAGCAAGATCCTTTCTCTTGATGCCAACCCAGACTCTAGTATAGCGGCTGGGGATGTAATTTTTATTTTTATTTTTTATGTGATGAATTTTTTGCTAAGGCCTTTATGTCTGGTATTAGCTCTCCATCAGCTAGTTATGACCTGTAATTGAGCAAAAGTATCTGTATACAGGTATTTGAAGAAAGAAGTGAGTGGACCAGGGATTCACTGCCAGCATCAGCATCAGGTATATCTCTGAGGCGTGCAGTATTGAAAGAAGACATTTATATGGGGATTCTTGATGGAAAAAACATGGAAGTTTCATTTGACAGTTTCCCATATTATCTAAGGTATGAATGTTTTGTTATATATTGTGCTATTTATCATGCTCCTGGTGAGGGGTGACTATCCAGCCAGTGTTCTTTTTATTTTTATTTTTTTGGGTTAATTACTGTCACTTAGTATCACTTCACCCACCTCAACTATAAAATCGTATATTTGAATCCCTCAACTATTAAAAAAAATCAGATAAATGTCCTCTTTCGGAGGGGTGAAGCTGATACAATGTTTCAACTATAACAAAAAAGGGTCCAAATAACCCCCTTTGGAGGGTGGAATTGATACAATGTTGCAGTTGAGGAGGTCCAAATGCATGGTTTTATAGTTGATGGAGTGTATGTGTAATTAACCTTTAAAAAGAAAATAGATTGTTATATGAGGCCTTATTGGAGGTACTGTTATCAATTATTTAATACGGATGATTTAAAGGTATAGTCTAGGAGAAGTTAATAAAGTGGGAAAGAGAAGCTTCTCAATGTCTATCTTAAAGTTAATAATACAATTCCATATTTTTTGGGCAATGATTTTTTGGGCAGTAATGAAGAGCTGGTCAGGCAGAAAGATGAGGTAGATGTGAAGGTTGGCGATCTGCAGAAGGAGCTGGAGGGCGAGTGGGCTAAGGCAGTGGAAGAGAGGAGGAGCCTTCAGAAGGAGTTGGAAGCAGAGAGAGCCAAGGCAACGGCGGAAAAGGAGAGCCTGAAAAAGGAGTTGGAGGAGGAGAGGGCTAAGGCTGCGTCTGAAAGGGCGACCCTGCAGAAAGAGCTGGACGAAGAGAGGGCAAAGGCAGCCTCTGAGAGGGTGGCCTACCCTGATCTGTGCGACATCACGGTGCAGCAATTCAAAGGGTCTGCTGAATTTCAGATGGCAGTTGATGTCGCGGTCGCCAGCAGCTTGGCTAGGCAAGAATCGGGGAGGGCGGGCCCATCGAGGACGACCGCTGGACGCAGAACTGAAGCAGAAGTTATTGAGATCTTCCAGCAGTCAGATTTCTATAAACACGAAACGGCTGAGTTCTGGGACAGTGGCTGGAAGATGTGTAAGCGTAGAGCTGAAGAACTGTTCCCAGACTTAGACTTCAGTAGTGTAACAATTGGTGAGGATGATGTGGCCCAAACCCCCCTGGATGAGGGTATTGAAGAAGAGGATCTCATCTTTAGTGAAGAGGAGTAACTGGAGAAGAAGATGAAGACTGTGCACAGACATTGTTTTTGTTGTTGTTTTTTTTTTTTTTTGAATTGCTATAATGAACTTTTATACAAAGTTGTGGATAAATAAAATGTCAGTTGTGTTTTGCATTTCACTGTTTTTGCTTGTGCGTCTGAAATGGATGAAAAATGGTGATAAAACTTGTGATAGACTTGTGATAAAAACTGAATTTAGGAATTCCTCAAGGCAGAGTGGGATTGAAATCGTAATAAAAACTGAGTGCAGAGTAAAGTTAATAACTCCTCAATGCAGAGTGAAATTGAACTGGTAACAATGCAGAGTGAAGTTGAACTTGTAATAAAAACTCAATGCAGAGCGAATGTGAACTTGTAATAAAAACTCAATGCAGAGTAAAGTTAGGAACTCCTCAATGCAGAGTGAAATTGAACTGGAAACAATGCAGAGTGAAGTTGAACTTGTAATAAAAACTCAATGCAGAGTAAAGTTAGGAACTCCTCAATGCAGAGTGAAATTGAACTGGTAACAATATAGAGTGAAATTTAAAATGTAGTAAAATTACAAGTTTGCATTTGCCACAATGCTCAAGTAGGTTAGTGGTTTACGGGGTGAGGCCTGGTTTGTGAGTTTGATTGAGAAAAGAATAACCTGACTTTTGTAAGAACGGCTTTGGAATTCGACTGAGCGAAGAGTGGTGTAGACATTTGGAGCTGGAATTTGCATGGGTGGACTTAACCGAGTCCTGCATGCGTGCTCATTTGGGGCAAGACATTGCAGGTAACTGAGTCTGACCCTGAAACTATGGCGCTCGGTCTGGCTAAGACTTGTCAGGTAAGCCGAGTGCTTCATGTTCGGTCTGGAAAAGGCTATTAGTGCTCGGTCTGGCCGAGACTTTTTAGTGCTCAGTCAGTCTGGCTGAGGCTTTTAGTGCTCAGTCTGGCTGAAGCTTTTGGTGCTCAGACTGGCTGAGGCTTTATTGTGCTCAGTCTGGCTGGGGCTTTTGGTGCTCAGTCTGGCTGAGGCTTTTAGTGCTCAGTCTGGCTGAGGCTTTATTGTGCTCAGTCTGGCTGAGGCTTTTGGTGCTCAGTCTGGCTGAGGCTTTTTTAGTGCTCAGTCTGGCTGAGGCTATTGACGGTCGGACTGGCCGAGGCTTATGGCGTGACACTCGGTCTGGCTGAGACTTGTAATAAGTGCTGCAAATGAGAATGTTATTGAGACAACACATAGATAGCCAAGGTATAGAATTGTTGTCATGATCAGTGTAATCCAGTCGATACAAGTTTACATTATGTAACAAAACAAAAAGAAAATACAACAACTAAGCAATACTACAGTAGGAACTTATTGAAAGTAGCGTTTCAGGTGTTCAGCGTTCCAGGGGTGGGGGAGATCTCAACCTTCCATGTCCTGAAGTCGATAAGTGGCCGGATGTGGTTGGGCCTTCACAACGTAAGGTCCCTTCCATTTGGGTGCCAATTTACCCTCAGTCGGATTTTTGGTGGCAAGGATTGCTTCTCTCATGACAAGGTCCCCTACAGCGAACTCCCTTGGTTGGACTTTGCGGTTGTAGTGTGTTCTCATTTTCTGTTGGTATGAGGCCAGTCTGACAGTAGTGGTTTCTCTGAGTTCTTCAATTAGGTCCAGGTCTGCCCGACGGAGCTCTTCCGTTAGTGTTGGATCCGGATGTAAAACTCTAGGGGTAGGCAGACCGACTTCTACCGGAATAACAGCCTCAGCGCCGTATGTTAAGCGAAAAGGAATTTCCCCAGTGGGAGTCCGCGCTGTAGTTCGATAAGCCCAAAGTACATTTGGTAGTTCCTCAGCCTAAAGCCCCTTGGTAGCTTCTAGCTTGGTTTTGATGATCTTCAAAAGAGAACGGTTGGTGACCTCAACTTGGCCATTGGCTTGGGGATGTTCGGGGGAAGAAAAACATGGTTGAATTTGGAGGTCCGCACAGAACTTCCTGTGCTTGGCGTTGTCGAATTGTTTGCCGTTATCGGAAACAATGGCCTGAGGAATGCCAAATCTGCAAACGATCGACTGCCAGATGAACTTGGTTGTGTTCCGCTCAGTAATGGTGGCAAGGGGTTCTGCCTCTACCCACTTAGTAAAATAATCAATGGCGACAATGGCAAATTTGGTCTGGCCTCGGCCGGTGGGTAAGTGGCCAACTAGGTCAATCCCCCACTTGGGGAATGGGTAGGGGCTGCAAAGTGTGATCAATGCAGTAAGAGGGGTACGGGGGATACTGGCAAAACGCTGACACTTATCACATTTGAGCACGAAGTCAGCCGCATCTTGGTTGAGAGTAGGCCAAAAATATAGAGTGCAAAGTATCTTGTGGGCCAGGGACCTGCTGCCCGAGTGATTGCCACAGATACCCTCATGAATTTCTTGCATCACATAAGTTGCTTGAGTCGGATTGAGGCACCGCAGATAAGGGCGTGAGAAGCCACGTTTGTACAAAATGCCGCTGATGAGGATGTAATTGGACAACCGGGCCCTGACTTTGGCGGCTTGTTGTTGGTCGTCCAGAAGTTCCCCCGTTGTCAGAAATAGAAAGATGTCTGACGCCCAAGGGATAGGCTCATTTTGAAGGAATTGTATTTCATGCTGGTCGGGGGAAATGGAGGGGTGGGATAGGTATTCGAGGCGGACACCACTGCTAAGGTCGAACTGGTCTGCGGAAGCCAACTGGGCCATCTCATCTGCCTTAGAGTTCTCCGCCCGAGGAATGTGCTTGATGTGGAAGGTATTGAAGAGGCGAATAAGGGGAAATGCAAGATCCCTGTAAGCCCGCATTGTGTCCTCCTTGGCATCGAATTCTCTCGTGATCTGTCCGACGATGAGCTGGGAGTCGCTGAGCACTCGGATGTGGCTGACACCAATGTCCCTAGCTAGGCGAAGGGCTGCTATCAGTGCCTCATATTCGGCCTCATTGTTACTAGCCTCAAATAAGAAACGGAGTGCACATTTGAAATAACCACCCTCAGAGGCGGTGAGGATGAGGCCAACCCCACTACCTTGCCTGCGGGATGATCCATCGACGTTGAGAGTCCAAGAGTGAGGGTCTTCTGGCTCGATGGGAGCTGGTGAGGGTGGAGAGGCAGTGGTTGGGGTAGGATTAGTGAATTTCAAGATAAAGTCGGCGATAGCCTGCCCCTTAATTGCTGTTCGAGGATGGTAAGAGATGTCAAACTGGCTGAGTTCCACTGACCACTGCATGAGTCTGCCGGAAAGTTCTGGTTGCTGCATGACCTTCTTCAAGGGTTGGTCGGTGAGGACCACTATGGAATGGGCTTGGAAGTAAGGATGGAGTCGTCTGGAGGCGGTGACCAAGGCCAAGGACAATTTTTCTAACAGTGGGTAGTTCTGCTCCGCTCCTCTGAGGGCCCGACTGATGTAGTAGACCGGTCGTTGGACAGAGCCGTCTTCCCTGATAAGTGCTGCACTGACAGCGGTGCTTAATACGGCTAAGTAGAGGAAGGGGGGCTCGCCCGTGATTGCCTGTGAAAGGAAGGGAGGGTTAGCCACGCACTGTTTCAACTGTTGAAAAGTCTCTTTGGATTCAGCCGTCCATTCAAAAGTTTGCCGAAGAACTTTGTAGAACGGTAGGCACTTGTCTGTTGCGCGGGAAATGAAGCGGTTGAGGCCTGCAACTCGGCCAGTGAGTCTTTGGACCTTCTTCACCATTCTGGGTGACTGCATCTCGACCAAGGCCCTGATCTTTTCAGGGTTAGCTTCAATGCCCCGCTGACTGACCATAAAACCCAGAAACTTCCCAGATCCTACGCCGAAGGCGTACTTCTCTGGGTTGAGCTTCATTTGGTACTTACATAGGGTGGCGAAGGTCTCCCGCAGATCGGTCAGATGATCAGTGGAGAGTTTGCTCTTGACTAGCATGTTGTCGACATATACTTCCATATTCCGACCTATCTGGTGTTGAAAGACGGCATTGACCAACCGTTGGTAGGTGGCCCCAGCGTTCTTCAATCCGAATGGCATTACCCGGTAATGGTAAGTACCTCGGTCGGTGATGAAGGATGTATGTTCCCGATCGGACGGGTGCATCAGGATTTGGTTGTAACCAGAGAAAGCATCCATGAAGTTGAGCATTTGATGGCCGGCCGTGGCGTCGACCAGCAGATCTATGCGGGGAAGAGGATAGCTTTCTTTGGGGCAAGCTCGGTTCAGGTCAGAGCAATCAACATAGAGTCGCCATTTGTCATTATTCTTGCGGACTAGGACCACGTTTGACAACCATTTAGGGTAGTCGATGTTTTTGATGAATTGGGCCTCAAGGAGCTTGTCAACCTCTGCGGCTATGAGAGTAATGAAAGATGCGCTGCTTCTGGCGGTAAGGTCGGAAATGAGGTTCAATACTGAGGCGATGAGTTATGAAAGAATGGTCAATGCCTAGCATATCTAAATGAGTCCAAGCGAATACATCATTGTGCTCGGTCAGAAGGGCAGTAAGGTTGGCCTTAGCTTGGGGAGATAGTTGGTTGCCGATCTTGGCAGTTTTCATTGGGTTGGTGGAATCGATGGAAATCTTAACGAGCTCCTCCACCGATTCGCCTCTGACCAGCTCGTCCCCATCTCGGGCGTCAAGTCCTTCAATGATCATGGCCTCCTTCAGCTTGACTTCCTTGAGTGAGGCGACATAACATTCCCTGGCTATGGTCTGCTCTCCTCGTACTGTCCCGACGCCCTAGTCGGTAGGAAACTTTATGGCGAGGTGGTAGGTTAAAGTCATAGCTTGGAAAGCGTTGAGGGCGGTGCGACCCAGGATGATGTTGTAGGTGGAGGGACAATCGACCACAAGGAAGGTGATCAACTTGGTAGTCTGCCGTGGGTATTCGCCAATGGCGATGGGGAGATCGATGGAGCCGATGGAGGTCACCCGGTCGCCAGTGAAACCGACCAAAGGGGTTTGGAGGGGAGACAGACTTTCCTCCTCAATTTTGAGCTGGTGGAAGCAGCTGAGAAATATGATGTCTGAAGAACTGTCGTTGTTGATGAGAACCCGTCTGACCTAATAGTTGGAGATGAGGGCAGAAATGATGAGAGGGTCATCATGAGAATAACGGATGCCAGTACAGTCGGCGTCCGTAAAGGTGATGGGCTCTGTCCACTGCTTTGGTTGTTTGGAGGGTCGGTCTACCGTGGCAACCGCTTTGTCTGAGCCTTGCCTTATCTTTCTGAGTTCTGCCCTCTGAGCCGAGCAAGATGGTCCCCCACAAGCAAGGCCACCTGAAATGACTCGGATTTCACCGACTGGCGGAGGGGGATTGCCTGGTGGCCGAGGCTGTTGTGGAGGGCGATCATGGCCTTGGTTAGGTTGGGCTAGCTGCCGAGGTGGGGTGCACCGGCGGTTGTTTCTGAGGGGCTCGGTTCTTTGCCTCTGCTGTGGACGGGTGTCGGTGAACCGGCTGAGACGCCCTTGACGTATTAGGGTCTCGACCTGATCTTTGAGGTTGATGCAGTCATCAGTGTTATGGTCGTGGTCCTGATGGAAATGACAATATTTGGACTGGTCTTTCCGATTGGAAGAGGTCCGTGAAGGTAGGGGCCATTTGAGGGGGTAGTCCCGTTGGATCTAGTTGAGGACTTGTTCTATAGGAGAATTAAGGGGGGTGTACCGTTCGAACCAACTGGGAGGTCAGGCTGGTGCCGACCGGTCAGCGCAGGGGGGTCAGTCTGTATAGTGGGGTGTTTGGCTATTATACTGGGTGTTTCTAAGTTCTGAGTCTTTTCTCTTTTCTCTGGGGGTCGGGTTTTTAGCCATGGAATCCTGTCGGGCGGCTAGTGAATCTTCGTTATTCATGTATTCTTGGGCTTTGGAGAGTAAGGCCGCCATGATGGTCGAGGGGTTTTTGGAGAGAGAGAAGAGGAAATCGGACGATCGTAGCCCAACCATGAAGGCCGTGAGGATGACCCTGTCATCGTTTTCCGTTACTTGCAGGGCTTCGGTGTTGAAACGGGTAAAAAAACTGCGCAGCGACTCCCCTCGGTCTAACGGATGTTGAGGAGTTGGGTTGCCGGGCGGCGTTGGCGCTGGGCTCCAATGAAATAGCTGAGGAAGGAGTCGCGAGGTGCTGGAAAGTGGAGACAGAGTCTGCTGGTAACTGGCTGAACCACAGTCGAGCTAACCCCTTTAGTGTCACGGGGAAAGCTCGACACATGACCTCATCAGGGAAGGCATGGAGGATCATGAGGGTGCGGTAGGTCTCCAAATGGTCGACTGGGTCCGTCGTACCGTCAAAAGAGTCAATGGTGGGCATCTTGAACTTGGCGGGCAGAGGTTTGTCCCGGATTGAGGCAACAAATGGTGAATTTGCCGTGGTAGAGAGTTTATGCTGAATGTTCTGCATGACCCCTTAGAGTTGGAGCTTCATTGCTCAGAGTTTAGCGTCCCAGAGGGGAACGTGGTCACCATGGTCAGTCAATGGAGGCTGGACGCTGCTGGCTTTCTCTTCAGGGACTGGTTCTACGACTGACGAGGGTGAGGGTGGTGGTAGTGGATTTATATGTGGGTGAGGAGGTTGCAAACCTTCCAAGTTAGGTGGATGGGGTTGCGGAGCGGTATGGCTCGGGGCTCTTTCTTAGTTGGGCGGAATATCTGGAGGTAGTGGAGGAGGCATCGAAAGGTTTCTTTGGTGTAAAACATTTATCAGGGCCTGGTTTTGCTCGGCCATGCGGTTAATGCTTTTGGTAAGCTCGATAAAATACTGCGGTGGGTTGTTTGGATTGGGGGGGTCGGCCTGATGGTCGGCAACATTATTGTGAGAAGCCATGGATCTAGTCGTGACCATACACTTTGACGGGTAGGAGGAAAAGGTTGTTAGAACGGGGTCTCCGGCGATAGTGAACATAACTGGCACGAGGAGCAAAGCGTTCCCACATACCGCGCCAACTGATGATACAGTTTATCCCAGTGAGTGGAGCGAACTGGTCCAAGCTCCTCAAGCCCAAGTCCAAATGATCAAGCCCACCGGATAACTTGCAAACAAGTTCCACGAGGAACGGGGTAGTCCCCCAGGAAACCCTCCGACGAGCAAGTTAGGAAGAGAAGTAGAGTATAGAGGGAGAGATTAGAGATAGAAAGCTTAACCTTCTTCTTGTCTTCAACGTTTTCTTATATCCTTTGGTAATCATTTCACTGTCCCTTCCCACCTGCCCTCCTCGCCGAAAGTCTATGTTGTAGCTTACCTTGTTCAGGGTAAGGGGGTCATGTTCTGACGGGGAGGTGTTGTCGTAATAAATGCTGTGATGGGCTGCATTAATGGTGATGTGCAGTGGCAATAACTTTGCAGATCTTTGTCTGCTGATGTGGCTCGTCCTTCACCTGCCATGTGTCTGAATGCCACCAGCTGGGTTATGTATTGGGCTCCAAGTGATGGGCTTGGGTTGTCTATAATGATTCATGACCTTTGTGGACTTGTATACGTCAAAAAATAATAATAATCTATAATAATAAAATAAAAGAATTAATTTTGTGATTGTATGCGATAAAGTAAAATTTAATGATAATAATAAAAATAATAATAATGGAAGTAATAAAATAAATAAGCTATACGTGTTATGTAAATTAATTTGTCATTACGGTTATCAAATATGTGATGCGGAAATTTATTTAAAGCTAAGTTAATCACTAATTAATGTGAAAAGATTAGCATGTATAAATATAATTAAACGAATTAAATACCACATAAATATTTATAGTTAAATATAATTATGGTTTTATGTGATGATATATTATTAAATAAATAAATATATAAATCTAATTTGGCATTGGGTTATTAAATATGAGATTAATTAGAGATTATTATTTGAGGCTAAATTAACACAAATATAAAACTATAATGCTAATTGAGTTAAATTAGAATTAAAGATATTAAATAATTAATAATATTAATAAGCCCATATGAGATAAGGCCAATTAGTTTTCGTCATTAATTAATAGATTATACCTTGAGTTACCATAATATATTTTATATATGTTTTGACTTATCATAATTTATTTTATACAAATTATATTTTATAAGTTATATTAATTCAAGTTATATTTTAGAAATATTTCAGTTACGTGGATTAATTTCTAAATTCTATTTGTTTAAATGAAACCCATGGATATGTTTATTTAAATTTTAAAGAATATTTGACTATAACCTTATAAACAATTATGTTTTGTAAGTCTCACGCTTTGGGGGACTTAAATAACTATTAGCCTCTGTTTGGCCACTTTGTGGTCCTCTGTTTGTCACAGATCCATTGACCTCTGTTCTGATTGTCACTTCTGTGACTTATGCTTTGTTCTATTCTGTACCGTGATTATGGTTAGTTATTTACATAATTTATGTATTTCAATTTTTGTCACTTAAATTATTTATTTACCAAATTGAGTTATGTAAATGTTTTGGCTTAACTAACTATCCGTGGTTATTTTCTATTCTCTGTACGCTTGGCATAATATTTCTCACTCTGCTGTATGCTTATAGTTGTTATCCTTTCAGGTGACGAGATGTAGGAGAAACTCAGAATCTCACCAAATGGAACCCACACGTGGGTTGATGTTGAACCACTTTTTTTTTTTTATCTTTCTCCTTCTTTTTTTTTATATTTTTGCTCCCTTTTGTTCTACTCGAGGCCGGTCACTGAATAATAAAATAATAAAAGTCCTATAAATATATTTTCTCTTATTAAAATAGTAAAATGAAATAATTTCTTGTTTAATTAATTTTGTTTCCGCTTAATTTACTACGACTATAAATTAATAAATTGCGATTTCAACTTTAAACCACTAAAATTAGGTGGTGACATAAATACTAACCAAACCCATTTAATATTTATGATACTCTCTCGTGGAATATATATGTTCGTGTGTCAAAAAATTAACAATCATGACCCACTAACTTCGTATACAATTTGGGCAGTATAATTGACATTTTTGAAAAACTCTATATATCTTATAAATTTGAGAAAATAAAAAAATAAAAAAACCTTAAGATTTGACCATTCTAACAAAACAAGTCTTGAGTTTTTAATTTTTAAATTTAAAATATAATTTTTTGATTTATTTTTAATCTAAATAATTTGTCTATTTTTGTCAAGTAAAATTCAAAAAAAAGTTCAATTATTAAATTTATAAAAATTTTAGACATTTTATATACACCTGACTTTAATTATTTTTATTTTATTTGTTATTAACCCTATAAATTTTGATAGAAAGCCTAGTTATGTGTTGCTTGTTTATTTATCCGTCTTTGTTTCTTTGGATAATAGTTTCTCGTTGTTTGGATAGCACTCTGGATTGTTCTTAGCGATGGGGCTAACACCATCGTGTATCAATGTTGCAAACCTCAATTAGGGTTGGGGTTGTTGTCAGCCTCTGCCTTGATCAAAACCACCAACTCCTCCTCTTTCTCCTTGCAGTCGCGATGTTGCGGTTGCGGTGCAACTGCAACAGCAGGATGGCTTTGTTTCATATAATGCTGGGATGATGATGACATTGTCAAGGGATGACGATGACGACCCATTTGATCTTTCTAGCTATACTTTTTGAACTTTTGGTTCGTCGGACATCAAGGATGCTTACAAACATCCTTGCAGAGTTTGCTTTGAAGGAACATAACAAAAAAGAAAAGGCCAATCTTCGGTTGGTGAGGGTGGTGGAAGCGTCTCTTTCTAGGAGTAAGGGCATAACTTACTACAACAAGACACTCAGAAAACTCATTCATTCGAATGATGCCATAACCTACCACATCAAGCTCGAGGCAATCAATGATGATGATGATTCCGGCCAGACCTTATGTTAGGTTGTTTGGTGAATTTTAATAGGTAGGAAAATAGGCTTAATGAATTTCAATATATACACAAATTGTGTGATTTCAAGAATTAAGGTAATTTCAAAACATAGACATGTAGGTTGATTTCAACACATAGTTATGTTTTTTGCCAAATTGCGTCTTTTTAGTCCATAGAGATTAGAAGTTGGACCTAGTGGCCCAAAAAAATTAGAAATAGACTTATGATAGGAGTGTCCTAAAAAGAACAAAACTCAAAATTTGTTTTTAAAATTTTAAAAGCAAACTAAGCGATTGTTTCATCTTGCAGTGAGCATCTCCAGCCTATCCTCTAAATCCATCTCTATTTGGGAGAATGATGGTTTGATTGTCCATATTTGAAACGAGGATGAAAAATATAAGACAATCTCTAACACTATTCATTTTATATTTTTGATTATATTACAAATAATTTTTAATATGTAAATTTAAATTGTTATAAAATTGGTATCATTAGAAAGGGTTAAATCATACCTTTAAAATGAATATAATATAATTTTATTAATGAGCAAAAATTATTTATTTTTTGATGAAAATATTTTGGAGTGAAATTTTTAAAGAAGAAAATGTGGCTTGAATGAATAATAGCATACTCTATACTTAATTTTGAATAAAAAAATATATTTTCATCCTCTAATTAAGAGCCTGGGTTGGACATGCTCTAAGGTATACGAAAACAGTAATGTTAGAAAAAACATAACGAGATATAATCCTCTTACAAGAAATGGGTCCTACATGAATTGGAAATGTTCTAAGATATACAAAAACATATTAGGAACACAAAACCCCCTCACAAGGGATGAGTCCCCTATACATAAGTATCACCCTTATGAGAGAATTATATTCCATTATGTATTTAGTTTTTATATACATAGACTTACTTAAATAAAAAAATATTTAAAACAATTAAATTTATCACCTTAAAAATTATTTCTAATAATATATTTGATAAATATTAAATTTTAATTTATCAAATATTCTATTATATTGTATGGGATCTACATAATTAATTAAGAGTAATGTTAGGAACTCCAAATAATCTACAAAATATTTTACCAAACCTCTCACGGATCAAATATTTTATCAAACATTTCACATGAATGGGAAATCCGCACATATATTTATTTATATAGATTTCACATCTATATTTATTTACAATCCACTTTTTGAAAAATTGAAATTGGATTATTATTAATTTTTTTGTATCCTATGAAAATTATCCTTGTAGATACTAAAGAAATATAAAAGCATTTAAGGTGGATAAACCAAAGAGTTCTTTATCTTAGATTTTCAAACATGGTGTAAATGTGATTTCCCAAACATAGTTGATGTCTTATATGAATTTAAGAGACTGAAGTATATTGTTTTTGGTTGCGTCTTGGAGGGTCTTGGCCAATTGTGGCGGATAAACCGAAGATTTCTTTATCTTCACGGAGTGCTCATCAGAAGAAGAGGCCGAGTTTTGATTCTACAACCCCATGGTGCAGGCTTTTGTCGCAGTACGCACAGGTTTAAAGCTTTCTCCTGATGAGATTTAAAAAATTGTGTTCTTTTGGTGACCACAATTGGGTTTTCTACACTAGATGAAGCCACATTTTTTGAGTTCTCGTTGTTTTATGTACACATAAACGGGTTTATATTGTTTACTGCAGAATTCGAATGTTCCAATTTGCACATCAAAATTTTTAATCGGTTCAAGCAGATTCAATGATCTTGTATTGAAGGACCAGACCGTTAGTGCAAATTTGTGTGTGATCAAGCAGGCAAAGGTATTTCTTTGATTAAACTCATATCCATGAGGATTAATTCAATATTTATTTTGCAAATACATGGCGTGTTACTTGGCTATGTACTCATGGTTTGTGGAAATGGAAATGATCAGTACGCAGACACTTTTGTTGCTATGCTCGAAAGCAGGGGGATGAAGGGATCTGTGCAAGTAAATGGGAAGATTATTAAGAGGGGTAACATCTGTGTCGTCAATTCTGGTGATGAGGTGGTTTTTGGTCGTTTGGCGAACCATGCTTATGTATCCATCTATTTCATTTCAGTGCGGCTCTTTGATCAATATTAAAGTTTTGCTCATGGGTTCTCAATATTCTTTAATACCTTTTCCTTGTTGGATTGTGTAGTGTGTGTGTGTGTGTGTGTGTGTGTGTGTGAATTCATCAATGTGACAATTTTCCTTAATTTTACTCTATATAGATTTTTCAGCTACTAGTGACTGATATTGTTATCAAGACCCCCTCATCAGCTGGTGGTGCAGAGGTTCAGACTACTGTAGGTAGATTATTACATATCGAAAGGAGGGTAGAGGATCCTTCAATTATGACGGGGGCTTCAATTTTGGCATCTCTTTCAAGCCTGCGGCAAGACTTGTCATGTTTGAAGCCTACTGCTCAGGCCAGTGGTAAAACACATCAAGGGACTAAGATGCCCCCTCATCATATTGTTCGCGACAGTATGGAGATTGATCTTGATGGTCTGGACGCCAATTCGGAAACAAATATTGGGAGTGATAAAGCTGGTGACATTGGAGAGACTAGCAAGATCCTTTCTCTTGATGCCAACCCAGACTCTAGTATAGCGGCTGGGGATGTAATTTTTATTTTTATTTTTTATGTGATGAATTTTTTGCTAAGGCCTTTATGTCTGGTATTAGCTCTCCATCAGCTAGTTATGACCTGTAATTGAGCAAAAGTATCTGTATACAGGTATTTGAAGAAAGAAGTGAGTGGACCAGGGATTCACTGCCAGCATCAGCATCAGGTATATCTCTGAGGCGTGCAGTATTGAAAGAAGACATTTATATGGGGATTCTTGATGGAAAAAACATGGAAGTTTCATTTGACAGTTTCCCATATTATCTAAGGTATGAATGTTTTGTTATATATTGTGCTATTTATCATGCTCCTGGTGAGGGGTGACTATCCAGCCAGTGTTCTTTTTATTTTTATTTTTTTGGGTTAATTACTGTCACTTAGTATCACTTCACCCACCTCAACTATAAAATCGTATATTTGAATCCCTCAACTATTAAAAAAAATCAGATAAATGTCCTCTTTCGGAGGGGTGAAGCTGATACAATGTTTCAACTATAAAAAAAAAGTGTCCAAATAACCCCCTTTGGAGGGTGGAATTGATACAATGTTGCAGTTGAGGAGGTCCAAATGCATGGTTTTATAGTTGATGGAGTGTATGTGTAATTAACCTTTAAAAAGAAAATAGATTGTTATATGAGGCCTTATTGGAGGTACTGTTATCAATTATTTAATACGGATGATTTAAAGGTAAAGTCTAGGAGAAGTTAATAAAGTGGGAAAGAGAAGCTTCTCAATGTCTATCTTGAAGTTAATAATACAATTCCATATTTTTTGGGCAATGATTTTTTGGGCAGTAATGAAGAGCTGGTCAGGCAAAAAGATGAGGTAGATGTGAAGGTTGGCGATCTGCAGAAGGAGCTGGAGGGCGAGTGGGCTAAGGCAGTGGAAGAGATGAGGGGCCTTCAGAAGGAGTTGGAAGCAAAGAGAGCCAAGGCGACGGCGGAAAAGGAGAGCCTGAAAAAGGAGTTGGAGGAGGAGAGGGCTAAGGCTGCGTCTAAAAGGGCGACCCTGCAGAAAGAGCTGGACGAAGAGAGGGCGAAGGCAGCCTCTGAGAGGGTGGCCTACCCCGATCTGTGCGTCGTCACGGTACAGCAATTCAAAGGGTCTGCTGAATTTAAGATGGCAGTTGATGTCGCGGTCGCCAGCAGCTTGGCTAGGCAAGAATCGGGGAGGGCGGGCCCATCGAGGACAACCGCTGGACGCAGAACTGAAGCAGAAGTTATTGAGAGCTTCCAGCAGTCAGATTTCTATAAACACGAAATGGCTGAGTTCTGGGACAGTGGCTGGAAGATGTTCAAGCGTAGAGCTGAAGAACTGTTCCCAGACTTAGACCTCAGTAGTGTAACAATTGGTGAGGATGATGTGGCCCAAACCCCCCTGGATGAGGGTATTAAAGAAGAGGATCTCATCTCCAGTGAAGAGGAGTAACTGGGGAAGAAGATGAAGACTATGCACAGACATTGTTTTTGTTGTTGTTTTTTTTTTTTTTTTGAATTGCTATAATGAACTTTTATACAATGTTGTGGATAAATAAAATTTCAGTTGTGTTTTGCATTTCACTGTTTTTGCTTGTGCGTCTGAAATGGATGAAAACTGGTGATAAAACTTGTGATAGACTTGTGATAAAAACTGAATTTAGGAATTCCTCAAGGCAGAGTGGGATTGAAATCGTAATAAAAACTGAGTGCAGAGTAAAGTTAGGAACTCCTCAATGCAGAGTGAAATTGAACTGGTAACAATGCAGAGTGAAGTTGAACTTGTAATAAAAACTCAATACAGAGTAAAGTTAGAAACTCCTCAATGCAGAGTGAAATTGAACTGGTAACAATATAGAGTGAAATTTAAAATGTAGTAAAATTACAAGTTTGCATTTGCCACACTGCTCAAGTAGGTTAGTGGTTTACGGGGTGAGGCCTGGTTTGTGAGTTTGATTGAGAAAAGAATAACCTGACTTTTGTAAGAACGGCTTTGGAATTCGACTGAGCGAAGAGTGGTGTAGAGATTTGGAGCTGGAATTTGCATGGGTGGACTTGACCGAGTCCTGCATACGTGCTCATTTGGGGCAAGACATTGTAGGTAACTGAGTCTGACCCTGAAACTGTGGCGCTCAGTCTGGCTAAGACTTGTCAGGTAAGCTGAGTGCTTCATGTTCGGTCTGGAAGAGGCTATTAGTGCTCGGTCTGGCCGAGGCTTTTTAGTGCTCAGTCAGTCTGGCTGAGGCTTTTAATGCTCAGTCTGGCTGAGGCTTTTGGTGCTCAGTCTGGCTGAGGCTTTTAGTGCTCAGTCTGGCTGAAGCTTTTGGTGCTCAGACTGGCTGAGGCTTTATTGTGCTCAGTCTGGCTGAGGCTTTTGGTGCTCAGTCTGGCTGAGGCTTTTAGAGCTCAGTCTGGCTGAGGCTTTATTGTGCTCAGTCTGGCTGAGACTTTTGGTGCTCAGTCTGGCTGAGACTTTTAGTGCTCAATCTGGCTGAGGCTTTTTTAGTGCTCAGTCTGGCTGAGGCTATTGACGGTCGGACTGGCCGAGGCTTATGGTGTGACGCTCGGTCTGGCTGAGACTTGTAATAAGTGCTGCAAATGAGAATGTTATTGAGACAACACATAGATAGCCAAGGTATAGAATTGTTGTCATGATCAATGTAATCCAGTCGATACAAGTTTACATTATGTAACAAAACAAAAAGAAAATACAACAACTGAGCAATACAACAATAGGAACTTATTGAAAGTAGCGTTTCAGGTGTTCAGCGTTCCTGGGGTGGGGGAGATCTCGACCTTCCATGTCCTGAAGTCGGTAAGTGGCCGGATGTGGTCGGGCCTTCACAGCGTAAGGTCCCTTCCATTTGGGTGCCAGTTTACCCTCAGTCGGATTTTTGGTGGCAAGGGTTGCTTCTCTCATGACAAGGTCCCCTACAGCGAACTCCCTTGGTTGGACTTTGCGGTTGTAGTGTGTTCTCATTTTCTGTTGGTATGAGGCCAGTCTGACAGCAGTGGTTTCTCTGAGTTCTTCAATTAGGTCCAGGTCTGCCCGACGGAGCTCTTCCGTTAGTGTTGGATCCGGATGTAAAACTCTAGGGGTAGGCAGGCCGACTTCTACTGGAATAACAGCCTCAGCGCCGTATGTTAAGCGAAAAGGAATTTCCCCAGTGGGAGTCCACGCTGTAGTTCGATAAGCCCAAAGTACATTTGGTAGTTCATCAGCCTAAAGCCCTTTGGTAGCTTCTAGCTTGGTTTTGATGATCTTCAGAAGAGAACGGTTGGTGACCTCAACTTGGCCATTGGCTTGGGGATGTTCGGGGGAAGAAAAACATGGTTGAATTTGGAGGTCCGCACAGAACTTCCTGTGCTTGGCGTTGTCGAATTGTTTGTCGTTATCGGAAACAATGGCCTGGGGAATGCTAAATCTGCAAACGATCGACTGCTAGATGAACTTGGTTGTGTTCCGCTCAGTAATGGTGGCAAGGGGTTCTGCCTCTACCCACTTAGTAAAATAATCAATGGCGACAATGGCAAATTTGGTCTGGCCTCGGCCGGTGGGTAAGGGGCCAACTAGGTCAATCCCCCACTTGGGGAATGGGTAGGGGCTGCAAAGTGTGATCAATGCAGTAAGAGGGGTACGGGGGATACTGGCAAAACGCTGACACTTATCACATTTGAGCACGAAGTCAGCCGCATCTTGGTTGAGAGTAGGCCAAAAATATAGAGTGCAAAGTATCTTGTGGGCCAGGGACCTGCTGCCCGAGTGATTGCCACAGATACCCTCATGAATTTCTTGCATCATATAAGTTGCTTGAGTCGGATTGAGGCACCGCAGATAAGGGCGTGAGAAGCCACGTTTGTACAAAATGTCGCTGACGAGGATGTAATTGGACAACCGGGCCCTGACTTTGGCGACTTGCTGTTGGTCGTCCAGAAGTTCCCCCGTTGTCAGAAATAGAAAGATGTCCGACGCCCAAGGGATTTTGGAGGAATTGTATTTCATGCTGGTCGGGAGAAATGGAGGGGTGGGATAGGTATTCGAGGCGGACACCACTGCTAAGGTCGGACTGGTCTGCGGAAGCCAACTGGGCCATCTCATCTGCCTTAGAGTTCTCCGCCCGAGGAATGTGCTTGATGTGGAAGGTATTGAAGAGGCGAACAAGGGGAAGTGCAAGATCCCTGTAAGCCCGTATTGTGTCCTCCTTGGCATCGAATTCTCTCGTGATCTGTCCGACGATGTGCTGGGAGTCGCTGAGCACTCGGATGTGGCTAACACCAATGTCCCTAGCTAGGCGAAGAGCTGCTATCAGTGCCTCATATTCGGCCTCATTGTTACTAGCCTCAAACAAGAAACGGAGTGCACATTTGAAATAATCACCCTCAGGGGCGGTGAGGATGAGGCCAACCCCACTACCTTGCCTGCGGGATGATCCATCGACGTTGAGAGTCCAAGAGTGAGGGTCTTCTGGCTCGATGGGAGCTGGTGAGGGTGAAGAGGCAGTGGTTGGGGTAGGATTAGTGAATTTCAAGATAAAGTCGGCGATAGCCTGTCCCTTAATTGCTGTTCGAGGCTGGTAAGAGATGTCAAACTGGCTGAGTTCCACTGACCACTGCATGAGTCTGCCGGAAAGTTCTGGTTGCTGCATGACCTTCTTCAAGGGTTGGTCGGTGAGGACCACTATGGAATGGGCTTGGAAGTAAGGATGGAGTTGTCTGGAGGCGGTGACCAAGGCCAAGGACAATTTTTCTAACAGTGGGTAGTTCTGCTCCGCTTCCCTGAGGGCCCGACTGATGTAGTAGACCGGTCGTTGGACAGAGTCGTCTTCCCTGATAAGTGCTGCACTGACAGCGGTGCTTAATACGGCTAAGTAGAGGAAGGGGGGCTCGCCTGTGATTGCCTGTGAAAGGAGGGGAGGGTTAGCCATGCACTGTTTCAACTGTTGAAAAGTCTCTTTGGATTCAGCCGTCCATTCAAAAGTTTGCCGAAGAACTTTGAAGAACGGTAGGCACTTGTCTGTTGCGCAGGAAATGAAGCGGTTGAGGCCTGCAACTCGGCCAGTGAGTCTTTGGACCTCCTTAACCGTTCTGGTTGACTGCATCTCGACCAAGGCCTTGATATTTTCAGGGTTAGCTTCAATGCCCCGCTGACTGACCATAAAACCCAGAAACTTCCCAGATCCTACGCCGAAGGCGCACTTCTCTGGGTTGAGCTTCATTTGGTACTTACATAGGGTGGCGAAGGTCTCCCGCAGGTCGGTCAGATGATCAGTGGAGAGTTTGCTCTTAACTAGCATGTTGTCGACATATACTTCCATATTCCGACCTATCTGGTGTTGAAAGACGGCATTGACCAACCGTTGGTAGGTGGCCCCAGCGTTCTTCAATCCGAATGGCATTACCCGGTAATGGTAAGTACCTCGGTCGGTGATGAAGGATGTATGTTCCCCATCGGACGGGTGCATCAGGATTTGGTTGTAACCAGAGAAAGCATCCATGAAACTGAGCATTTGATGGCCGGCCGTGGCGTCGACCAGCAGATCTATGCGGGGAAGAGGATAGCTGTCTTTGGGGCAAGCTCGGTTCAGGTCAGAGCAATCGACATAAAGTCGCCATTTGTCATTATTCTTGCGGACTAGGACCACGTTTGACAACCATTTAGGGTAGTCGATGTTTTTGATGAATTGGGCCTCAAGGAGCTTGTCAACCTCTGCGGCTATGAGAGTATTGCGCTCCAAATGAAAGATGCGCTGCTTCTGGCGGTAAGGTCGGAAATGAGGTTCAATACTGAGGCGATGAGTTATGAAAGAATGGTCAATGCCTAGCATATCTAAATGAGTCCAAGCGAATACATCATTGTGCTCGGTCAGAAGGGCAGTAAGGTTGGCCTTAGCTTGGGGGGATAGTTGGTTGCCGATCTTGGCAGTTTTCATTGGGTTGGTGGAATCGATGGAAATCTTAACGAGCTCCTCCACCGATTCGCCTCTGACCAGCTCGTCCCCATCTCGGGCGTCAAGTCCTTCAATGATCATGGCCTCCTTCAGCTTGACTTCCTTGAGTGAGGCGACATAACATTCCCTGGCTATGGTCTGCTCTCTTCGTACTGTCCCGACGCCCTAGTCGGTAGGAAACTTTATGGCGAGGTGGTAGGTTAAAGTCATAGCTTGGAAAGCGTTGAGGGCGGTGCGACCCAGGATATTGTTGTAGGTGGAGGGACAATCGACCACAAGGAAGGTGAGCAACTTAGTAGTAGCCAATGGCGATGGGGAGATCGATGGAGCCGATAGAGGTCACCCGGTCGCCAGTGAAACCGACCAAAGGGGTTTGGAGGGGAGACAGACTTTCCTCCTCAATTTTGAGCTGGCGGAAGCAGCTGAGAAATATGATGTCTGAAGAACTGCCGTTGTTGATGAGAACCCGTCTGACCTAATAATTGGAGATGAGGGCAGAAATGATGAGAGGGTCATCATGAG